TCAAAATGAGAAAGATGACAAACTCCAATCTCAGAAACAAGGTGAAGAAGAGGGCTCTAGTGGTCTAGCCCACAGGAAGCTGTGCTGCAAACCCCAGGGTGGTGGGTCTCTCTCTGATCACAAGATCTACCAGGCACCCACCCTTGTAGAAGAAAGACACAGACAATCTCCTCTTATGCAATTTACAGCCTCTGAACATCTGCTGGAGGGCAGGTATGACTTGAGTTTTGACTCAAGGGCTGTGAGTTAAGTGAGAGGGAGGTTTTCTGGGACAAAGTTAGAGGTCTAACTGAAGAACACATTCATATTTCATCGCATTCCTTCTGGCACCAGATAATTCTCTCATTCATAACATCAGGAGTCTTTCTGAATTGTACTATGAAAGGAAGGATGAAGTGGGGAGTGGATATAGGAAAGCAGTCCTGCACAAAGGTGTCTGTATATCAGGGTTGTGTATTCAACTATGAGAAACTCAACAGTAGGGCCATATCAAGGTAGCCTCTTCAAGGACTATTCAGGATAGGATATTATTTATGTTGGAAGACCCATTTAACACTATTTCCAATAATAACAATAAAATATAACTAGTTGAAGGAACCGGGGGATTTGAAGAAATATGCCACAGAGCTGCTAGATGTTGTTATGTGCCATCAAGTTGCCTGCTACTCATAGCAACCCTATGTACAACTTCCCGAAGCCCTGCTCTATCCTGTGCCAATCATATTGTCTCTAACACATCTACCTCCTTTATCCCAGTCATTGAATCAATCCATCTCATCAAGGGTCTTCCTCTCCTTTGCTGTCCCTCCACCCTCCCAAGCATGACATTCCTCTCCAAGGACCAGTCCCTCCTTGCAACATGTTCAAAGTATGTCAGACAAAGCTTCAGAATTCTTGCCTCCAAAGAGCAGCCTGGCTTCACTCTCTCTATGGTGAACTTGTTTGTTCTCCTAGCAGTCCATGATATATATTCAATACTCTTCAATACTCTTCCAGCATCACAACTCAAAGAGGAAGGGTCTTTCTTAGAGAAGGGGTATTAAGCATACAATCCCTGGTGTTAGTATACACAAACACCTTAGGCTATTTGTTTTTGTATTTATTTTTTCCTGTTTGTGAGTGACAGTGACACACTCTAGTTACCTCAATTGATAGCAGTTTATGGCTATTTGTTTTGTTTTTATTTTTTCCTGTTTGTGAGTGACAGCAACACACCCTAGTTACCACAATTGATTGTAGTTTATGGCTATTTGTTTTTGTTTTTATTTTTTTTCCTGTTTGTGAGTGACAGTAACACACTCTAGTTACCTCAACTGATAGTAGTTTATGGCTGTTTTTGTTTTTATTTTTTTTCCTGTTTGTGAGTGACAGTGACACACTCTAGTTACCTCAGTTGCTAGTAGTTTATTTTAAAGAAACATAGGAAAATGAAGAAGTATAAAGATAAATTTCCACAAGCCTTTAGCAATCCAGTTAGCAGGTCTTCCTTCCACGTCAGTTAGTAAATGTTCTCTACTCTGGAGTTCCATACGTAGGATTCAGCTGAGTGCAGAAACAGCAGATACAGGAAGATGTAATTCTTATCTGTACCTCATAGCTCCATCCTTATGAATCATGTTCTTTTCCTGCAGACTTACCCCCCATCCTCCTGTCTATACTGCTATGTCTTAAATTCAAATGATCTGAGCTAGACTCAATCATTGTCCAATGTAAGATGCTGCTCATTGGTAGGCTTTTCATGTCAATCAATTTCTTGTTTAGAGAAGCACTTCTAAGCAGGTCCAATCATGTGTCAATGAGTTGGGAAGAGGAAAATTGATCAAAGCAAAATAAACTGAGGCCTCATACTTGCTGCTAGTATACACATACCCCCTTTTTTATCAATAAATATTAATTGAAAACTATCTTTTACCAAAGGTAATTATCCAGGTCATTGGTGAGGCTAAGATGTAGAGGAGCATTCCTGTTACAGACTACACTGAAGGGAGAGTGAAAATTATCACTGAGCAGAAATAGAAGAATAAAAAGCACCCCAAACTATTCAGGTGATTCTCCCCCCCCCCACTCTAAGCAAAGCTAAAAATTTCTTCATTTCTTGCAATAGAATTAACATGAGAAGAAAACCCCCTTTCCTTTTGAAAATAAATAGAAATACTTAAAATTTTTCTGGAAGTGAAGAAGTTTGTTTTTATCATTGTCATTCTGGGGACAGAATGAAAATATTTTTAAAAGCCGTATCTTTCATGGAGAAGAGGTGCCTGACAGTCTTCACAAGCAGCAGAAGGAGATTTGAAGAAACAAGACTGTGAGTGGTTGAATGAAAGAAAATAAATCAGAGGGGGAGGGTCAGAAAAATAGAAAACAAAGATGATTCCAAAGAGCAGTGTACATAGTTTTGCAATCAGTACCATTCTGGTCAAGTCACCATCATCTGCTCTAGGCTTAGCTGTTCCCCGCCCTAGGCTGCTTCTGGGTAAAATAGCATGCTCAGCTTGTTTGGCCTCCTCTCCTGGTTTGTTGCTTGCTGTAGGCTTAGAGAGGGAAGGCTCCAGGCTTCTGGGATATGGCTGCTATTCCTATCTGTTCACAGCTCCACAGAAATTCTTAAGGGGCAGAACTAGAGATAAAAGCTGGGATGGGGGAGGGAAGTCTTAAAAGATGAGTAAAGAGGCAGGGTGGCTTGATTTTTTTCAGATCCCCTGATGCTTTTCATTTCTATATTTGCTGCTACCAGAGAAAATGTTTTTAAAAATAATTCATACTTGCAGTGCTCTTTGCAAATGTTGTTGTTGCTAAATCTCCAGTGGGTTTTCAAAGGCAGTTAATCACACCGGATGAGACTGCCCATCTTTCTCCCACAGAGCAGCTGGTGGATTCAAATCAAGTGTCTTTGGGTGGACCAAGCAACTCTTTACCACTATGTCACTACCTGCAGTAAACCTATAACCCTATAACCTCCTTCCCTCCAGGACCTCTGATCCCTGTCCAGGGTTCAGTTTCAGAGTTACAAAGGCAAGATGTACACTGATAGGACCTCACCTCAGGATATTGTTAGATCCAGAGAAGACCGGGAACCTCGTCACAAGCCACCCGCTGGGCCTGGGCCTATTACCTAAGAAAGTGAGAATAAGGAAGAAAGCAAAGGCTGATTCACTAATAAACATAATAGTTTTAGGTCAGTTAGAAACAGCTGCTCCGCAGGAGAATAAGGCAATCAACTCCAGTGAGATTTACTGCATCTGAAAACAGGCTGGAGGGTCGGTTTTGACTCAGTCCCCACTGGGTGGTACACAACAAACAATCTCCTGTCATGGCCTTTTAAAGTTTTTCCAACTAAATATATCACACTCATACAAGTTTTAGCCCTTTAGGGGTAACCTGGTGCTTTTAGACTAGAATCTGAATAATGAGAAAGAACCAGAACCTACGTTACTCTAGAGTCTGTGGAGAAGGAGAGAAGACCCACAAAGTCTACAGTCCAAAGACCTTTAAGTTTATCAAGTTTGGGAAATGGAAGTGGTGCAAGACCGCATAGTTGTGGAAGGAGGATGATTAAACTTCCTTTACTTTGGACATATTGCAAGGAGGGACCAGTCCTTGGAGAAGGACGTCATGCTTGGGAGGGTGGAGGGACAGCGCAGGAGAGGAAGACCTTCGATTAGATGGATTGATTCAGCAACTGGGGTAATGAGGGTAGTTGTGTCAGAGACAGAGAGACCCGCACAGGATAGAGCAGGGTTTAGGGCTGTTGTGCACAGGGTCGCTATGAGTCCCAGGCCATTCAATGACAGAAAACAACCACCACCACTTTGTCTGCAGAGGTTCCTAGGATCAGCACCGAGTTTTAAACTACTTGTTCAGAGTGAAGAACAGGGGCCTTTGGAAGAGGTGGTGTTTTACTCGCTCCAAGTAACATTGACTTTGCTTATATTGCTAGAGCTGTCTCTGGCTGTTGGATTAGGACGGTGGCGAAAAAGATGACATTGGTTTTCTAAAGCAACCTTTTCTCTAAGCACCCTTGCATTCATCTGCCCACTTCGTGGGCCAGCTGTCCCAGGCTTCTGCCCCGGGTGGGGGAAGGGGAAGTGCTTCAGCGGCCTGGGTTAGTCCTTTAATATCAGCTTCCCCGCCCCCATCACCCTGCTCTATCTCTCTGACAGGTGTTTTCCCAACTCCCAAAGCCAAGGATTTTGGGGAGTGACTGAGCCAATAAGATTTCCCTTTTTCGGGTGGGGGGGGGCGGGCGGGCGAGAGGGCGTGGCTTGTAGGGTCAGAGCCGGGGCGGGGTTTGCGCGGCTGAGCAGAGCTGCCTGGTGGCGTGGAGGGCTGTTTTATTTTTTTTTCCTCCCCTTATTTTTTTTTTCCCTGAGTCTTATTAATTTCTCTGTGGGGCTGCAGCTGGAGACCGCGGAGCGTTGGAAATGACGCTCGGAGCTTTAATTACCGCAGCCGCCGGACAAGTGTGAGCAAAGCTGCGAGGGGAAAGCAGGGCAGGTTCGGGGGAGAAGCGACGAGCTCCCCCCCAACCCGCCCGCCCCTTCCCTCCCGATTTGGACTGGAGGTGCAGGGACCCAGAAAAAGGAGCCGAACGGAGCTCCGCTGGTGGGGGAGAGGCCGGAAGCCTACCTCCCTCCTGCAATCAACTTTTTTTGGAAACCTTTTCTCTCTGCGTTCCTTTTTATTGTTGGCCAACCAGAGCCCGGAGAGAAAGTGCGAAGGGAGCAAGC